GGGAAGCAGCGCAGCTCTGACTCTTTCGATGATCCCTTCAAAGCAGACTCCCTCGTGGAGGGAACTTCTTCTCGCTATTCCATGTATAACAGCGTCTCCCAGAAGCTTATGGTATGTCAGCGCTTGGGTTGGGTTTCTGAAGCTCCACCAGCAGAGTGAGAGAAGAGAGCTTGGATTGACATGAAAAGGAGAAAAGCGAGGGCATGAATTTTTCCTTTGCTCTTCAGCTACTGAAATTTAGTAGAGAGAGGGAGGTCCCCTTCTCAATAGAAACATCTATCCCATTTGAATCATCCATGGGAAGTGGCTCCCCAGGCCTGCTTCTCCTGTCCAGAGCTGCATCCCGCTTTGGTCTTCCTAGTAATGAATTCTTATCACGAGCACATGTGAACATACTTCCTTACCCGTGGATACGTGTTGAAGGAGCAGTACAGTCTTCCGTATTGCTTCCAAAAGAAGGCCCAGTTCTCCTTCCCAGCCTCCATTCCCCATTGATACGCCTCAAGAAGGAAGGTGAATAAATAGGAAGACCTGCTTACTTTCCTTATCGAACTTGAGTGTGTGTGTAAAGGTTAGAGGAATCCAAGTTTGCCTTCCATCTAGCTTCAGAAATATTATAGTTGACTCTTCCATTTTTTGTTGGATTCATTTAAGAATAAGAACTGCCACTTCTGAAGTCATAATCAGGATTCTAGTTTGGGGGCCACAGATTTTGCGGAAGTGGAAGATGGAGAGATTTGTGACTCAGTCAGCCTCTTTGACCTGGGGACAGACTTGTGGCTACTATTAGGAATTCCATCTGGCTCTTGAGCTGGTAATGCCCGTCCCATAGGGAATGCAGACCCTCTAGGGGGAATCAGGTCTTCTTAGGATTGCACTTCTTAAGATCCGGGGTTTGGGATTCGAGTCTCTGATTTTTGGGGTATGTAACTGGGTCCAGTGACTGTAGAGTTTGGCGTGAGCTTATAGACAGTTGTGAATTTTAAAAAAAAATGATTCTGTCCAGGATCTTATAATAATATCTTCCATACTTCAGTTTTACATGAAGCTATTTTCCAGTTAATCTCTTGATTTGGGTTCCTATTGACCCTCATTGTCCCTGCCTGGTAAGGCTGTTTGACCAGCTGAGGGTAAGGTAGAAGTTGCTGCTTGAAGTGGTTCCATTTTAAATTACGTTCTCTTTATCAATCCTTCAGTAAATCTACTTCTCACTTAATCAGATACATTAGCCAGAAGGGTAGTTGTTCAAATGTCCAATGAGATTCATTAGGTACTCTTGGCACTTTTCGTTAACAGCTGTGAGGTCCCTTCTCATTTATCCAAGCTCTGATTGCCCTAGACCGTCACCTCCAGAATAGACAGCCACTGAGCCCCCAGTTACACCACAGTTATTTATCCATGCTGCTTTCTTTATCAGGCCAGAGGGCAAACCTTAGGCCTTACTCGTCTGTATTTCTTAGGGTTTAGCACAATGTCTGGCACATGATAGGGGCTAAATAAATGTCTGTTTATTTTTATAACTGCTCCATTATTTTGTTTATTTCTATGAATGTTCCATTACTTCTCTCTTTCAGGCCAAGATGGGCTTCAGGGAAGGTGAAGGACTGGGTAAATACAGCCAGGGTCGGAAGGACATCGTTGAGGCCTCTAATCAGAAAGGTCGAAGAGGCTTGGGCCTGACGTTGCAAGGCTTTGACCAGGAGTTGAGTGTGGACTGGCGAGATGAGCCGGAGGTAACTGGGGTGGGGAGAAGGAGGCAGGAAAGCCACTTGTGTTTTTGGATGCATGCCTTTAAGTAGTCACAGTAACAAACTAGAAGTCTCCAGAGGCCATATGATCAGAATGCTTAGTGGGGGTTGAACTAGCCTCTTAACAGAAGGTCCTGGGGTTTCCAGAATTGAAAACAGCAGAATGGGGTTGCGGTGGGGGTGGGGGCGTGGATATAATAGGATGTGGATTTGTTTCCTTTTGCTGTATATAGGACTATCTAAGACCAGTAGGTAGAAGATGCTGGAAGGCAGAGTTTGTCTCCATAAGGAACTTGAATAGCTACAGCTTTCCACTAGTGCCTAAGATCAGGTACCTCACAAGGTGTTCTCTCTGCTGAAAGGATTCGGTGAGAACCCACTCTCCCATTGTGTGAGTGACTGGATCAGTTGACCCCTAACTGGATCAGTTGCCCCCTAAGGTCCTTACACCCCCACAGGTTTATGACATCCTGGTATCAAACAGGTGTGTGTTTATGCCATGTGGCTTTTTTATTGTGGGTTTAGACTGCTTACCTACTTGGGTACCAGTTTGTTTTAAGCCTGAATACCAAAAGGGACTCNACATGGAGCACAGGTTTGCAAGCTTACTTGGGTCTTGGACCCTTAGGGCCACCATAACTTTTTCATCATGCCCCTAGGCCAAAATAAATACCTGGCAGTTTAGTTTATTAAGTATTTAAGGTCTAAATAATAAGCATTTCTATCCTAATAGTAATAGATCTTTGAGAGAACAACATACATAAAATGAAAACAAGTTTTTTATTTTATTCTTAGATAAGCACGATAACTCATTAATGAGATGTGTATACGGTTGAGTACTATTGATATGTAACTTCTCAAGCCTTGAGATCAAATTGGACACCACCACCTTCATTTTCTGTTCTGAATTCCTCCTTGCTTAGAATTTATACCATTTTTAATTGGAATATACAGAAATGGTTAACCAAACTTTTGAGATACAGTCAATTTCCAAATTTGAGTGGGTTTGTTTGAGAAACTACCTGAGTAAAATTAACAGTGGGTTGAAATAGATTTCAAGTTAAGAGATTCACATTATCTATAAAGGAGCGGGAAAGAGCCAGTCACAGTGAATAGCTAGACTGTGGATCATCCTGCTTTTGACCAGGAGACAGGTAACCCACCTGCCTGGCAGCTGCTAAGGTGGCCTTATTTAGAGCCCTTTGGCAACAAGGATGTCAACAATGAAGATACTGGCTTAGCTTACTCAGGCCACCAGCTCTCTCCAGGAGCGCCAAGGTGCTGCTC